GTTTTTGCCCAAGCTATTAAAAAAGTTCTATTGGAAAAAATGCTGAATCCATAAAAGTATTACGGGGTGATTTGGTGGTAGAGTCTTTATTGGAGTCCAAGCGCTAACTGATAGAATATCTCAACTCATTCCTCTTTATAGGGATTTGTACAATAATCAAATATAATCCAATTAAATGAGAGGTTGTCAAAATTATCCGATATTACTATAGAAGTTTCTGAAGGCGTTGCCCCTTAATTAAAATAGAAAAACTAAGAATATCTGAGTTGCGACCGAAAGTTTGCATAAGGTCAAGGTCAAATTTAGCTTGTACGTGCAACTCGTGAGAGGCATGTGACTATTTAACAATTAGACTACGAGGTGGAGTTTTCTATGAGTCAATAGATGGTCTAGAGTATCCACTTTTAGTCTTCAATTTCGTCATCAATGAAGTATTTGAATATAGTAACATACTAAAACATTATTCTTGTAGCTTTATCGAGGATATTAGTTTAAAAAAACTGCCTCGTTATATTCCTGAGTTTATTTTGTAGTTTCTAGTAATCTAGTAGTGAAAGCCGCTGACCAGCAAAATAGATTCAGTGAACCTGGACCACAGGAAGCCCATCCATTATAAGCATAGATGAGTTAACGTATTGAAGGACGAACACGTTCTCTCGATCGCTGCACGTTTACTTGCCTAGTTAGAAAAGGTCCCAAGGAGGTGGCCTTTATTAGTATTTCCGGTCACTGGTTGTGATGAATTAGCATCTTGAAGGACTAACATTCCCTCACTTTTTCTTGCCTTGCTTGAAAGGGTGGTAGTTTGCTTGCCTTGTTTGCCTCTGCAAATGAATGCTCCGTCGAATAACGAGTGAGACAAGGCGCAAGCTAAAGCCTACGTTTGAAAAGATCTTTCGAAAATTAGGAAATAGTAAGAGGTTTACATAGTGAAGTGATAAATCTATTAGTGGATTACTAAACTTATAATAATCGCTAGTATTTAGTTACAAAAATGATAAACTCGGTATGAAATACAAGTAGTCCAGCGTTTATTCAATTTCACATCATAAGATTCAAAGTAAAAATTGATATAAAAAAGTCTAATATGCATAAATGTTTTTTTTTATGCGGTGCAACTTTCATATATCGATCAGTACATGGTATGGATCAAGTCATCATGCTTGAGGGAACCGCCTTGCCTACAGTTGCTGGGAGGTATAAACATTGCAGGGTCTTCGATTCCCACAACAACGTTGTAGAAGCTGAAACATTAATGAATGTAGTCGTTTAGCTTTCTAGCCTATATAGTCAAAACAAAGCAAACACGGTACAACGCGCGCGTACAGCACAGCATAGCACAGCCCAGCCCAGCACAGCAGAGCGCAAAGCTAAGTAGAGCATAGTAAAAGTAGGATACTCTTTAAACCCTCAAATAACACGCCAGATATAACCTCTCTGGTATCACAATACCATTTCCAGTTAAAAAATCATTATACTAACCTGAAATTGATGACACCATAGTCTTCAGTGTAGACCCATGACTGAACAGGAATACATCCCTCTGTTGTTACTGAGATACCGTAACCCCCTGCAACAAACAAAATAGCAGTCATCAAAAATACTCCCGTTAGCGTTGGCATCGGCTGTTGGGCTGTAGAGCAACGGGCGGTTTAAACCAAATCACAAAACACTTGCTACTTCTCCGGGATAAATTGAAGTCTTATCTTGTCAAGTTATTATACCTGATCTTCCCCGTCTTTCGTATTCTCCGTAAAACACTTTAACCAGTACCCCAGCTCCAGGCAAACTGGATCCAATGTATTCTTCAGTCGCGTAATAATAATTCTTTGGGATTGTTGCTGGTCTGAACGGCTTGTAAAACCTGTACGCGGTGCATATTTTTTCGTCCTTATCGTTGTATGTGATGCGATAGACACGGCGCTGGAAATAATAAAAAGAACACTGAGCTTTCGTTGGTCAAAATAAAAAGGTTCGGCTCTCGCCACATACTGATTCCAAATTTTTATTGATGCTTTCTTCTGAAGTCCCAGGCCCCACAACATCGTACACACACACACACACGGAAATTAATTGAAAACTGGTGGGGAATTGCCCTATTTCATTGTGAAGTCATAGTTTGTTTATAAGGGGGACCGAATGGTGAAGAAAAATAAGAGTTAGAACTTCTTCATGCTTGTAAATGTCCATCAAACTAACAACGGTTTAAGTTAATATTCTTTGATTGAGGCAACCGAATTTTGGATAAATTTGTCTGGCGCGTGTCTTAAACCTACTTCGCAGCTGTATACCACACATACCTCGCGAAAAAGCATGATGTACTCAAAGGACGGTAGTTTTCCCGAACGACTATCTTCGTCTATTATGTGGACTCGTTCATTCACAGCATCGTAAGACATCTTGGCGAGTATGGTCTTATTCATCTTTTTGGGAGCAGACTATAAAATATCATTTTCAAGATTAATAACAACTCGTATAATTACTGTAAAATTGTGCTATTTTCCAACTAATTTATTTGTACACAACCAACCAACCAACCTACCCACCAACCCAACCAACGAACCAACGAACTAACGAACGAACGAAGGAACAAGACAGATACTTTATTGATGAATAAAAGAATACAAAAAAGAAAAACTATATAACCT